GTGAGATATTGTTCTTGCCACTCGAACATAAAATTCATATCTTCTCGCGACCGTGTAATATCCTCTATATATTACATCATTCTTCTTTTGTGAATAATAATTACTCGAAAATCTGTGGGGATGGGATGTCCAAGCGTACGATGTCTTCTAATTTTTGCCCCTTCAAGATTTGGTTGGATGCAAATTTTTGTATTAATTTTATTTCTTTTCTCATGTCTTTTTGGCAATGGCGCGCGGTGCAAAATAATATCGTCTTCCGTGATCAAGGAAAAAATGTTAAAAAACGTTATAGAATCGCAGTTCACTTTGACGGCTTGGCTTGAGTCCTCTTGGGGTATAGTATCATTTTAATTTACAGATAAATAATCAAAACCGAAAGATGGTTCTACAAACAGACTGTCGATGTACCCCAGACCCTTATTCATACCCTCCCTTTCAATAAAATTTATCCCACCCCTTGGACCTTCGCGAGGTCTTGCATGCTTCTGGTATCGATTCTAATAATAAGTCAAATTATTCTCGCATTTTGATTGGTTCTCACCTATAATCTATTGGAGGACAAACGCATGTATGACGTCATTATCATTTCTGTTTTTGTTCCTCTGTTATATAAAACAAGTAGATTCCATGTTTGCCGGGCGTCTGTTTAGTAACCGATCACAGATGACGTCAAAATGTGGTAAAAATATCAGTGACACACTCGGCTATTGCCTTGTGTACCACCTTTTAGTTCTTACCACATTTTGACGTCATCTGAGATCTATTACTGAACAGACGCACGGTAACATGGAATCTACTTGTCCTACTTACATAGTCCACAACTTCTCTTGCAATAGACGTTCATGTAGGCTGGATTTAACCTGCATTGTTGTCTTCGAACCCAAGAAGAACAATACCGGTTGTAATCTACGCATACTGTTGGAATGCAAAACACGGAAAGAGTTAGTCGCATATAGTCCCAAAATTAAAGCTGCCGCGTCCTTTTGAGGAGCCTAGCAGAGTGGTTAGGGCAGCGGACTTCAAATCCGGAGGTCGCGGGATCCAGTCCCGCTCTGACCACTTAGCTGGAGTTGTTTCTCGGTAAAACCTAGTTCAACCACTTGGCGAAGCTTGTTCATAACATATGGTCTGTC